CGAGAATACAAGATCTCAGACAAAAATGAGCCTCTGAGTAAGCCAAGCTGATGGACCCAATCTGTCATTGTTCACAACACCGATATGTTAGTGATTGCTTTTATTGATTTAACTGAACAATACATATAACTTCACATCAACACAATGATTTTCACTCTAGGAATCCCAATATGAGACACTAACTAACAAGGCCAAATGGAAGGACCATTGACGAGAAAGAATTCGGAGGTTGCTCATGTTTTCATTACCAGATGGTTTTTGGACGTAATTTTTGGAAGACAAACATATATTCTAACGTGAAATAGTTAATCCTAAGTGTTAGGAGAATATTTTACGCAATTTACTCGAGCATCACCGCCTTCACAATGGTAGTGCCTAATGGTGTGCTTCAGATAATAAGCAAGAAACCACGAACATTCTATAGGTCTGATGGGACACGCATAAAGATAAAAATATCCTCTTAGTAGGTGGCCAGATCTATGGTTCACATAAACTGGAGCGAGTGGAAGGGAGAGGAAGGGATACCGTGTACTTTGGGAACTATGATACCCTTTTGAAGCGTTGAGAAAGAGCATTGAAGAACAATAGATGAATGACAAATTACCAGTTGTTCATTTGCTTTTCGATGTTGAAAGAGGAGTGTTTTAATGGTGTGGTGACCGCTTGAGGGGAAGCAGGAGTGCATGGTCAGTCCCTACCACGTATAACGTGAGTATAGGACCACTCGAGGAGGCTCTACACGGCAAGGTGGCTGCTGACCCGCTACGAGCATATATTGCCTATCCCAGGGAAACCGTTACCTATGCTATGACTGTTCTATGCATACAAATGACCAACGAAGGAATACCCTAGTCTTGTGCTTATTGCTACATGGCAGAATGAGGTCATTAACGAGTACTCATATGGAAACTACACAGTAGTTATGACACGAAAGAATGATGCAATACAAATGAACGACTAAAGTAACATGAAATAATAGGGCAAAAAGAAGAAAGGCATGATCGGCAAATGACACAGGCCTGCCTACTTAGCAAATGTGACATGGCTAAGCATTGGTTCACCGAGCCATGGATGACTAGACGAGACGAATGGCTAGAAGCGTTCAAGCTGATGCTTACTGTAGCATGGCGACTGGGGCATGGTTTCCCTCCGGCATAGGCCTTCCAAGGTACAAAAGTCTCGGCACACGGCCGTGGTAGCAGAGATAGCAACCGCTTGTCGCTCTAGGATGAATCGTAAGCATCGTGTGCATAAGAGAGCGCCGTTACAGCAAGAGAATGAAATACATGTCACACCATTCTGCTCAAACTGGCACCATCTACTGAATGCGCTCTCACAACTATTCGGTAGACGCTCTTCCTCAGACACTAAGTTTTTTTATGTCACTCTGTTTGCTGCTCTTCCTGAGCTGACTACTAGTTTTCAACCTCACAAGGATACAGTGCTCAAAAAATGAAGGCAAACGTTGGAAACAGCTCAATCCTTCTACAGACTGCATCGCATGTAAGGACGGTCCTATTCCTTGTCTACTGGCAGCGGTTTGTGTGGGTAGATTTAGTCGCTTACCGAATGGATACTGTGCTTCTTACGCATGCTCCTTCAACCCTACAAAGTCCAGGCTTTTTTTTCAAGGTTTCTTTGAGTTCCTTCTCTGGAACGCTTGTTAGCAATTTCTACTTCGATTGCGAGAGCGATAAAGATTAGCTGAATCCTAATAAAATTGCGTCCAGCATTTGTGAAGATTGTGACAGTTCGTTGACCCTTTATCTTCTGTCCGTCGCCATTTTAAGCTACCCTCTGGTGACCGGCTCTGCTACTCGGGCTTATGAATATTGTTTTCTTTGATTTTCCTTGCGACTGTATTTCTATGGTGAGCGTGATTTTCAGCTCGCAGCAAAGACCATGGCGAGAAACGGTGGAAGAAAAAACTGAGATCCATGTCGAAACAAATCAACAAGGTGACAAGCAGAAGAATGCATGCTAAACCGAGTGAAGATTCGAAAGGAGAAATAAAAGATGCAGAAAAAGAGGATGTCCTGAAAAAGAAGAAAGAAAAAAGGAAAACATCGACCAAGGTATTTGTAAGAAGCTAGCTATTTTTACAGGTTTTTCCCTGTGTACCGCAATACTAGCCAGGAAAGGTCAACAGGTCAGCCCGGCCATTTCCAATGAGCTGCACACCGTTGCACGCGTCTCGGGACAGTGAACTCGAATCTACCCTCAGAATTTGCGGAACGACTCTCTGAACGGAGTTATGGAGGGTTTCATCCCCGCGTGGTTGTCTCACATGCTATCGCGAGGAAACGTGGCGAAGCGGTCTGCTTGTGTATACAAAGAATGAAGTTCACCAGTTGAAACGTGGCAATAGAGCGCAACGGATAGCGAGCGGATTTAGTGGGCGAGACGTCGTAAGATCGGTTCTCGGCAGGGTGTCTTTTTTTGCATTTATCCAAAAACATGACCGACAGAGCTTCTAACATCTCTGATCGCCTGCACTATCCTGTAAGGAAACTGCGACCAGTTCTTTCGAAAGTGTAGACCCATTGTGGCCTGAAAGAGTGCGTGTCCCCCCCCCAGCACATGTCGCAAGGGTTTTTGCAATGTAATACCATGATATTCGTGTTCAGCGGGTCGAATTACCCTTGGAAACAAGTTTCTAGCTGAATCGAATATTCGACCTAACTGGGAAAATGTGAGTTATTCACGGTACAATTAGCAGCAGTTTGGAGCTCGCCTACCATCCATGACTGCTCTCGGGATGGAATTCCTACCGGTAATCAGGAAAATGATGCAGACGACACGAGTAATTGAGCCAGATATTGTTCTTTGCGAAAAAACATGACTGAAGAGTTATTTCGTTCGAAGAGCAGTCATCACCAGTATGCTAGTCGTAGTATGGCTGTTGGCTCTCAGTCAGCTATGACTATCCATACCCCATTTTTTCCAAGTTGAGTCAGAAACTCAGATTTCGCTAAAATGACGTCTCTAGTTATTGACCCTCTGAACACAAATATGACACCTATTTCGCGAGAGCGTGCGAGTTCGCACTACAGTGCAACGCTTCGCGCCAAGCGCGGCTTAGAAGAAAAAAGGTAAAGAAAAACCTCCGTAACTCCGCTCAGAGAATCGTTCCGCAAATTTTGAAGATAGTTTCGAGTTCACCGTGTCAAGATGGGTACAATGATGGTGCATCCATCTGATAAGGGCGGCGCTGGCCTGTGTACCGCAATACTAAGTTGTGACTTTGCTGAGGTGTGAGCCTGTGTGCATTTCAAGGTAGCAGAGGTGCACACGTCAATGGTGTAAGACATATCAGCGGGTGTTCCCGGTTTCTGCACATTCCAACCTCCTCATTTAGTTCTAAGTTTTTTTCCAAATAGATTATCCACAAAAATAGAACAGAATAAGAAAAATCCAAGCTTTTTTGTTCGCGGACGTCGAAAATGAAGGGAAGCCTAATACACGGAAGTGCGTCCCCCCACATCAAAAATACGCTAGTACTATTCTCAAGATAGAACAAGCTTTAACTTCAATGCCATGTACATTTACATCAAGGAAGAGGAAGAGTACACGGATTTTGAAGAAGTGGATGCTCCCATGAAACCTGCGGTGGTCGAGATTCTTTCGAAAGAGAAACAAGTTGGAGTGTTTCCTGGAGGTGAATTAGAACTCCAACTACTTGTCCGTGTGCGACACTTTTCCAGTTTTTCTTTTCGTTCCAGAGGAGGCCATTTGTGTAGTGAAGAAGCCAGCAGAAAAAAAGCAAGGAAGTCGATATCAGAATTGACAAAAAACAGACAGCTGCTAGGGAAAGCTGTGTCAAAAAAGGATCGTCCTTCAACAACGGCTTAGGCGCAGAAGCGGACGACAATAAGGATCGCTCTCCTCATAGGCGTACCAGTCGCTCAGTATACGGTTTTCTCAACAGCACTACTCAGGAAACTTCGCATTTTTGCACGGTACGGGAAACGAGCGTTGCCAACAATCCAACCCTGTCCTTGCCCAGAAAAGAAAACCGTAAGTATTATGTAGACTTGCCACCCTACGACAATCCGACGATTCAGCCAGTAAGCAACGATCGTAACCACTCGGAAGAAGTGAATAAAGGTGCAGATTCCACGATGAACATTTCCAAGATTTCCCAAGCAAGCGAAAGTGGACGTGCTGAAACACAACCAAAAAGTGAATCGAAAACGGCAGACACTTGCCGGACGGCACTAGCGACGTCCCGTGATGGGTTTGAGTTCTTGGTCTCGAGCGAATTTTGCAACTGTGAAAAGTATGAAACTGGAGGAAAATCAAAGCCACCATCTTCAAGACGTCACCACGTGCATCGAAACGTTGAAGTACTGAAAATGTCTAAAGAAGGGATGGAGTTTCTGCTTTCGAGTGAACCGTTGCAACTCAATAGCGAGCAACCTGCACTCCACGCTTCCTCAAAATCTCCTCTTCCAAGCAAATCGCTTCACAGTGAAATGTCCACAGCTTCGGATGGAGCTGCGCAGTCACCTGCAGAAAATTCGGAGCCCAAAGTGCACAACGTGTCTGACCAGGGAATAACCCCAGCAGAATCAGCTCCAGAAGAGAAGACAAATCCACCACGCAAAAAACAAAAGATATTGCAACCAAAAGCATGTGCGGAGGTAAGCACAACTCTTTATATTTCATTGAATGAGCTTGTAAGTGTGTTCTCAAGTGATCATTCGATCACAAGGGCGAACTTATTGGCATAAGTTGCACAACTGGTTTTCGAAATCGTGATTTTTGACGCCCATTGCGTGAGCTGCGCTATTTTGTGTGATGATGCTACACACAGCAGAATGCACGCTAGCAGGGGAAAACAGTTATCC